TGTAGATCAATGGAACAAAATAGAAAGTCCAGAGATAAATCCACACACCCAGGGACACCTTATCTTTGACAAAGGAGGAAAAAATATATAATGGAGAAAAGACAATCTCTTTAGTTGTGCTGGGAAAACTGGTCAACCACCTGTAAAATAATGAGACTAGAACACTTTCTAACACCATACACAAAAATAAACTCAAAACGGATTAAAGATCTAAATATAAGGCCAGAAACTATAAAATGCCTAGAGAAAAACATAGGCAAAACACTCTGACATAAATCACAGCAAGATCCTCTATGACCCACCTCCCAGAGTAGTGGAAATAAAAGCAAAAATAAACAAATGGCACCTAATTAAACCTAAAAGCTTTTGCACAATGAAGAAAACTATAAGCAAGGTGAAAAGATAGCCTTCAGAGTGGGAGAAAATAATAGCAAATGAAACAATTGACAAAGAATTAATCTCAAAAATATACAAACAACTCATGCAGCTCAATACCAGAAAAATAAATGACCCAATCAAAAACTGGGCCGAAGAACTAAACAGACATTTCTCTAAAGAAGACATACAGATGGCTAAGAAGCACATGAAAAAATGCTCAAAACCACTCATTATCAGAGAAATGCAAATCAAACCCACAATGAGGTACCATCTCACCCTGGTCTGAATGGCTGGTATCAAAAAGTCTACAAATAATAAATGCTGGAAAGGGTGTGGAGAAAAGGGAACCCTTTTACACCATTGGTGGGAATGCAAACTAGTGGAGAACCACTAGTGTTCTCCAGCCACTATGGAGAACAGTGTGGAGACTCCTTCAAAAACAGAAAATAGAATTGCCATTAAACCCAGCAATCCCACTGCTGGGCATAAACACCGAGGAAACCATAATTGAAACAGACACATGTACCCCAATGTTCATCGCAGCACTGTTTACAATAGCTAGAACAGGGAAGCAACCTAGATGTCAATTGGCAGACGAGTGGATAAGAAAGATGTAGTACATATACACAATGGAATATTACTCAGCCATTAAAAAGAACACATTTGAATTGGTTCTAATGAGGCGGATGAAACTGGAGCCTATTATACAGAGTCAAGTAAGTCAGAAAGAAAAACACCAATAGTATACTAATGCATATATATGGAATTTAGAAAGATGGTAATGATGACCCTAAATGAGAGACAGCAAAAGAGACACAGATGTAAAGAACAGACTTCTGGACTCTGTGGGAGAAGGCGACGGTGGGATGATTTGAGAGAATAGCTTTAAAACATGTATATTACCATATGTGAAATAGAAGACCAGTCCAAGTTCGATGCATGGAACAGGGCACTCAAAGCCAGTGCATTGGGATGGGGAGGGAGGTGGGAGAGGGGTATGGGATTGGGGAACACATGTACACCTGTGGCTGATTCATGTCAATGAATGGCAAATCCACCACAACATTGTAAAGTAATTAGCCTCCAATTAACATAAATTCATTAATTAAAAAAAAAGTTGTACAGCATATCAAAGTTTAACCAATTAAAGAAAATTAGTATAATAGATATTTTAAAAATATTTCTCAGCTTCCTAATTATATTTGTTGAAATCTTTTTAGTCATTTAAGACTCTTCCCAGAAGTTGCCTCTCAAGTCTTTCTTGAGCCTGCATATTATATCTCTCTAGTCTCTCCTGTTTCTTGGTGATACATACTGTCTTATCACTAATTTTATTATTGTTTTAGCCTCTAAAAAGACTGTGAGCTTAAGGATAGGGACTATATTTAACTTACATTTATGTCCGACTTATATACAACAAGCATTAAAAACATTTGTATAATTAACATGATTAAAGTGCTATCACTTGATTTTGCTTGGAATGGATTCTGAGAAATAGTTACTCATACTCCTAAGATACAGATTTCTTTCTAGCTAACTTTCATGAGTTTTAATTGAGTGAATCCTAACATATTATTGCAAAAAAGTAGAGGAAAACAACAGAATGGGAAAGACTAGAGATCTCTTCAAGAAAATAAGAGATACCAAGGGAACATTTCATGCAAAGATGGGATCAATAAACGACAGAAATGGTAAGGACCTAACAGAAGCAGAAGATATTAAGAGGTCGCAAGAATACACAGAAGAACTGTACAAAAAAGATCTTCACGACCCAGATAATCATGATGGTGTGATCACTCACCTAGAGCCAGACATCCTGGAATGCAGTCAAGTGGGCCTTAGGAAGCATCACTACGAACAAACCTAGTGGAGGTGATGGAATTCCAGTTGAGCTATTTCAAATCCTGAAAGATGCTGTGAAAGTGTTGCACTCAATATGTCAGCAAATTTGGAAAACTCAGCTGTGTACACAAGACTGGAAAAGGTCAGTTTTCATTGCAATCCCAAAGAAAGGCAATGCCGAAGAATGCTCAAACTACCGCACAATTGCACTCATCTTACATGCTAGTAAAGTAATGCTCAAAATTCTTCAAGCCAGGCTTCAGCAATACATGAACTGTGAACTTCCAGATGTTCAAGCTGGTTTTAGAAAAGGCAGAAGAACCAGAGATCAAATTACCAACATCCGCTGGATCACTGAAAAAGCAAGAGAGTTCCAGAAAAACATCTATTTCTGCTTTATTGACTATGCCAAAGCCTTTGACTGTGTGGATCACAATAAACTGTGGAAACTTCTGAAAGTGATGGGAATACCAGATCACCTGACCTGCCTCTTGAGAAATCTGTGTGCAGGTCAGGAAGCAACAGTTAGAACTGGACATGGAACAACAGATTGGTTCCAAATAGGAAAAGGAGTACTCCAAGGCTGTATATTCTCACCCTGCTTATTCAACTTATATGCAGAGTACATCATGAGAAACGCTGGGCTGGAAGAAGCACAAGCTGGAATCCAGATTGCCGGAAGAAATATCAATAACCTCAGGTATGCTGGTGACACCACCCTTATGGCAGAAAGTGAAGAAGAACTAAAGAGCCTTTTGATGAAAGTGAAAGAGGAGAGTGAAAAAGCGGACTTAAAGCTCAACATTCAGAAAACTAAGATCATGGCATCTGCTCCCATCACTTCATGGTAAACAGAGGCAAACAGTGGAAACAGTGGCTGACTTTATTTTTGGAGGCTCCAAAATCACTGCAGATTGTGATTACAACCATAAAATTAAGACTCTTACTCCTTGGAAGGAAAGCTATGGTTAACCTAGACAGCATATTAAAAAGCAGAGACAGACCTGACAGCAGGTCTGTCTAGTCAAGGCTATGGTTTTTCCAGTGGTCATGTATGAATGTGAGAGTTGAACTATAAAGAAAGCTGAGCAGAGAAGAATTGATGCTTCTGAACTGTAGTGTTGAAGAAGACTCTTGAGAGTCCCTTGGACTGCAAGGAGATCCAATCAGTCCATCCTAAAGAGATCAGTCCTGGGTGTTCATTGGAAGGACTGATGTTGAAGCTGAAACTCCAATCCTTTGGCTACTTGATGCGAAGAGCTGACTCCTTTGAAAAGACCCTGATGCTAGGAAAGATTGAGGGCGGGAGGACAGGGGGAAGACAGAGGATGAGATGGTTGGATGACATCAGGGACTCAATGGACATGAGCTTGAGTAAACTCTGGGAGTTGGTGATGGACAGGGAGGCCTGATGTGTTGTGGTTCATGGGGTCGCAGAGTCACAACTGAGTGACTAAATTGAACTGAATGCATCATTGTATTTTAATACTAGTGCCAAGAGCATTTAAGTCAAGTTTAAATCTATCACTCATGACCAATACCTTCTCTGGACCTATTACTTTGTTGCATAATGCAGTGTTAGTCGCTGAGTCAAGCCCACAAGACACCTCTGTCAATGGAATTCTCCAGGCAAGAATACTGGAATTGGTTGCCATTCCCTTCTACAGGGGATCTTCCCCATGCAGGGATAGAACCTGTGTCTCCTCCTTTGCATGTAGATTCTTTACCATGAGTCACTAGGGAAGATCCTATGCACAAAGAAAGGACTGCACTAAGGAATTTTCTAAGATAGTTCAGTTCTTCAGATCAGTCAAGAGACCCTATCAAAAAGGTTTTCATATTCTAATATTTTCACTTTTTTCTCAAACTATTCTCTGATGCTTACAAAGCAATATACATCTATTCATTAAACACTTAATAAATGCCAGTAAATAATGTAAAGTTCACATATTAATTACAGCATCCATAGTTAACATTATTGGGGCTTCCCCTGGTGGCTCAGCAGTAAAGAATCCACCTGCAATGCAGGAGACTCAGGAGAGGTGGGCTCGATCCCTGGGTCAAGATCTCCTGGAGGAGGGCATGGCAACCCACTCCAGCATTCTTGCCTAAAGAATACCATGGATTGTGGAGCCTGGCAAGCCACAGTCGCAAGAGTCGAACAGGACTGAAGTTACTGAGAGTGTAGGTATAGCACAGCAACATTAGAGCACAGATCTTGTGCCCTTACTCTCCTTTTTATAAAAACTCTTTTTAAAATTTGAATTTACTGTTCCAGGTAAAATAAATTACATACAAAAATTTCTTAATTAATTTAAAAAGGCAAACTCTGCTGCATCTCCCTGATTTAAGATTTAAATAGTCGATCAAGATTTCTACTTGATCATATTGCAACAGGAGGAACTAGGTTATGTTTTTTAAAGATCACATTCCACAAACTATGTCAACTCTTAGACAGTTCAGCGACAGTTGGAGCCATAAGCCCCATTAGACAGGCGAAGGCGCTTAAGTTTATAAAGATTAAAACTTTCAATGGAACTAAAGGCCCAGATTTTCTAATTCAAAAGTTTCACATTATTATTGTTTTTTTAATGCACTGTCAGCACAAAGCAATACAAGTGTGCTGAATCTGGGGTCCACGGAGACAATCAGGAGACACAGGGAAAGGCTTGTTAGCTAGAGGCCGAATGTTCAGTCTCTGAGGAGGGTAGTGAGAAAGAAGGCCACCAGTCCCGACCCTCCGCCACTGGCCGGTCACTTCACAGGCCCAGGAGGCGCATATGCGGCCTTCCAAACCTCTAAGCCCGAAGAAACCGCTCCAGCCCTACCGAGGACCTACTTCGCGGCCCGGTTTGCAGAGCTCACCAGGGGTCCACAGGGGCCCGCTCCTTTCGGTTCAGGAGCTCAAAGGTGGCGCCAAGCGACCAAGAAGTGTGACCCCAGACGAGAAAGAGCTACCCACCTCGGAGTCGGAAAATCGCCGCGTGAACCTCGCTTCCGTGTTCTGTCTCCTGGGCTACTCAGGATTGGCTCCTGTACGAGGGCGGGGCCTCGCGGCAACTTTTCATGAGCCCTCGCGGCACTCGACAGCCAATGAGAGGAGTTGAAGCGCTTGCGTCATCAATGAGGCATCGCGAGAAAAGGAGATGTTACTCTCCCGCTCAATTCAGGTTTACCAACAATGCAGTTCTGTGACGCCATCCCGGGTGGTGCTGTTGCTTTTGTTGTCGCGATTGTCCCTCCTTCTTCCCGGTAAAAGTCAGCTTCGGGTCCCCAGGTTGGGGCTGTGGTGAGTCCAGGTGTGGGGTAATTTGCGAGTTGCTTTTTGTGTCTGCGGCGTCGCGGGCTGAAGCCCAGAGAGGACTGACTGTGGGAAGAATGGGCCGAGTAGGCTCGGGAGGAGCTTGGAGGTTCCGCGAGTTCTGTGGTGCGGGCGCGTTGAGGCTTGGGATCCTCACCGAACCGGCGATCTGTGAGTGGGAGGGGTCGTTCTACGGTGGCAGCCTCTCCTCCTCAAAAGTGAAAGTGAAAGTAAAGTCGCTCAGTCATGTCCGAATCTCTGCGACCCCGTGGACTGTGGCCCACTAGGCTCCTGCGGCTATGTTCCTTCAACGATATGTTTTTGTTTATTCAAACGTGGACCCCTTATCCTTTCAAAACAAGCCCGTTCTTTAAAGTAATTCTGTGTTTAAGCAGGAAATACAGGATCTTCTTAGGCTCCAGAGTAGCCCTTGAATGCAACTTAAACATTTCTGTTCAGTTATTCGTGTGCTAAACCCGAAGTATTGTGTGACTCTTTTGCCCATTCGTTTAACAAACATTAGCTTCCCACAAGGCAAGCAAAAGGAGCTAGGAGAGGAGTTTAATTATAGTGATAAAACTGAAGTGGCACTGGAGACACGCTATTTTTTGTTGTTGTTAACATTAAAAAAAAAAATATAGTAGGTGATTAAGTGAAAATGAGACTCTTCCAAAATTGCCAGTCTGCATTTTAAAAATGTGTTTTAAATAAAATTTTGTTTTAGAATTTGGTATCGAGTGAGTTTTCTGACCTATTTGAGCACCGGACCCAAGGGTACTTGCAGAGGGAACTGGTCTCGGAGGAGGTGGACTGACCATAGAAATGAGTCCTGCGGATGCCCTGTAAGCACCTTTCTTCCGAAATCTTTGTTGGTTTGGGTTTCTACCAAACAGCCTATCGACTATCGTCACCATAAAAGAAAACTTACTTAGTAAATAAAGAGCTTGCATGAACACAAGTGTTAGTCGTCAAAAAGAGTGTTTAGAATGGTTAACAATTCATACTGTATGTTTATTAATTAAAGATAATATGCAGCTGTAGATTGGGGTTTTGCAGTAGATTGGCATATTGCTGTATAAATTTATGTTGTTAGGTTTTTGTTTTAAACTATTGAAGCTATAAATATTCTTGAACTAAGTCTTACTAGCTAATGCAAGTCTTTTAGAGCACATTTTTAGAGGGATAAATTGCCCTCGTACTGAATAAATTGCAAATGAATCTGACTAAAATGAAAATAAATAAAATAATTAGGAAAAGTAATGTGGGAAAAGCTTCCAACTTGGAGTCTTTAATCCTGGTTTTAATTTCTTGATTAGTATTGTTTGACCCTGAGCAAGTTAGCAAGCATTTAAACTTCACCTCATTTTCTTCATTTGTATCATCAAGGTAAAGCGACTCTCAGATAAATTTTCATATTTAAATGAAAAAACTCAAGTGAAAATACTTTAGAAATTGCTGTGGAGTCTGGGTAGTAATGTGATTTGAAAGTACTATGACTTAATCTGTATGTATATAGCAGTCAGAACTGTGTATATCATTTTAAACTTTCTGAAGAGACATCTTTTCTGGAAAATTCTTCTGTGTATAAAGATTTGAATTTTAGAGATATATAAAAGTTTGTTTTTAAGTTTGTATATTTTAGTGAAAATAGCCTGAATTTTAATCCTGGCTTTTAGTACCATTTCTGCCATTCTGTTTCATGATATATCAATTAATTTCTAGTATTTAGCCTTCTGGTTTTTCAGAAACAATAATACTTCACCTCTTTATATGTGAGAGTTGAGATGAGATTAGAGATACCAAATTATTTTAAAGACAGTTAAAAGTCATATTAAGTTTCAGTTCAGTTCAGTCGTGTTCGACTCTTTGCATCCCCATGAATCGCAGCACGCCAGGCCTCCCATCACCAACTCCCGGAGTTTACTCAAACTCATGCCCATCGAGTTGGTGATGCCATCCAGCCATCTCATCCTCTGTCGTCCCATTCTCCTCCTGCCCCTAATCCTTCCCAGCATCAGGGTCTTTTCCAATGAGTCAACTCCTCGCATGAATTGGCCAAAGTATTGGAGTTTCAGCTTCAGCATCAGTCCTTCCAATGAACACCCAGGACTGATCTCCTTTAGGATGGACTGGTTGGATCTCCTTGCAGTCCAAGGGACTCTCAAGAGTCTTCTCCAACACTATTGTTCAAAAGCATCAATTTTTCGGTACTCAGCTTTCCTCACAGTCCAACTCTCATATCCATACATGACCACTGGACAAACCATAACCTTGATCAGACGGACCTTTGTTGGCAAAGTAATGTCTCTGCTTTCTGCTGCTTTGAATCTTTGGAGTACTACCAAATTTAAATGGCATTGTAAATTCATTTTTTTACTTGGCCAACTTCATTAATGGTAAGCTAACTTTATATGGAGAGTAATCAAGCAAGCCTCTTTAGGGGCCTGGATGTAAGTTACTAGCTTATTATAATAGAAATCTACTTATAAAGTAAGAGGAGTGCTTTTAAAATTAACTAGGTAATTCTAATTTTCCTGGAAAAGTGCAAAGTAGATAAATAGCAAATTTAGATACTGAGATCAAATTCTCTTAGGTTTTTGCTGTGGAACAGAGTAGGAAAATAAGCTTCAAATCCAGGTTACATATGAATGTATAAAACTGCTTGTAACACAGTTATATATTTTTGAAGCAGTTACAGAGCCTTTTAAAAAGTGCGTATATATTCTACATTGTATTAGTGGTAGGAAAATTGTGACGTTAATAAACTAGTGAATGCTTCAAATTTTCAGATCTTGTTTAGAACTGGAAAAATGATTTTATTTCATAATTGCTATTTATAGATTTAGTTTAGATTTTTTTTAAGATTTAGTTTAGTTTAGCTGTTCAATTTGCTTGAACATTCTTTCAATAAATTATTTTGAAGTGTTTCTTCTTTTTAAATGCAGTGATGATGAAAATACATTTAAAATCTTGGTTGCAACGGATATTCATCTGGGTTTTATGGAAAAAGATGCTGTGAGAGGAAATGATACATTTGTAACACTTGATGAAATTTTAAGACTTGCCCAGGAAAATGATGTGAGTTTGGTTTTCATTTTTGCAATTTCTATGAAGTTCCTGTCCTTACTCTTTTTTCGTTTTAGAGGTTTGTTTTATATGTCCATGTGCTCAAATTGCCTGCTTAAATATAAGTATGCTGAAAGCTCAAATCAGATTTCATGTGCCTTATTCCCTGAATTTAAGTAGGAGCGACTTTCATAAATGGTCTGTAATACTTTATGAAAATTGATGAAGTGTTTACTGAGTGCAGCATGTTTCTATTTGAACTGTAAAGATGACTGTCATAGTTTCTGCTTTCAAAGAACATACAGCAGGCAAACCAGCATGTGAGATATGATAAATGTCTAAAATGCTCAGATGCAAAGTCATATGTGATAAGAGCCATAAGAAAATTATAAACATCATTTCCTGGGAGATTAGAGGTAGAAGAGATCACATTTAGAAGAGGACAGCAAGATGAGATAAATTAAGTGGCATTTAACTTGGGCTTAGAAGGAATATAGCAGCCGTGTTGGCTCACTGGTGGGTCTTGTGTTAGAAAGAGGGCTGAAAAACTAGAAATGTGGTTTGAGCTTCAGTGAGAGCTTCAAATGTCAGATTGAAGAGTTTGTATCCAACTTAATAGAAAGTCTTCTGGCAGCAGAGTCTAGCATGAAGTCAAGATAAGTTGGAGGTTTTTTAAAGTGGTGGCTTGCAATGGAAAAAAGGAAGTGAATACAAGAGCTATTACAAAAATAGGGTTTGCATACTTTGATTAGGAGATGCGGTTGAGGGAGAAAGGATGACAGTATCTGAAGTGTGTTAAGTTTGGGTGAATGGTGGTACCAGTAATAGAAGTAGGTTTTAAATAAGATTTCTTTCTTATTTTCATACTTCCTTATTACATACTTCATTATGTGGGAAGGTGATAAATTTTTATTTAGACCATTTGAGTTGGAGGTTCCAATAGGATATTTAAGGAAACCTTCTAGCAGACAGATAAAGTGTCCATCTAGAGCCCAAAAGACAACTGGGGAATAAACATAAATTCGGGTGACTTGCAAACTATTATCTTCAACTTTGACTTTTTCTCAGAGTTCTGTTCAGTTTTTCTGCAAGTCCTTTAGTTCATATTTCCAAATATTTATGAGTGGAACCTCTCCACTATTTTCTGCCTTTAAACTGAATCTAAAACTTTTATCTTATTTTGCTGAACTACAGTAGCTCCCCTTAGTTTTTTTTTTTCCTTTTTTATAGTATAGCAGACAGAGTGAACTTATAAAATCATAAATCAGATCATGGCACTCTGCTGCTTCGAAATCTAAGTGGCCTTCCACTGAATCTAGAGTAAAAATTAAACCACAAAGTTCAACATGATCTGGCCCCTACTAGAAGACTTCATCTCCTTTGACTCTGGGTGCTTAGCTTGTGCTCCATCTACACCGGGGTGTATGTTCTGTTCTGGGACCTCTGTGTGTCTGGTTCTCTTCCTGCTCTGAGTATCTTGATTTTGTCAGGGTTTACTTCTGAGTTCAAGTTTTATCTTTTTGGAGAGGTCTTCCCTGGTAACTCCAAACAGTCTTATCACATTACTCATTTATTTTTTTATAGCACCATCTGAAATAATTTATTGGATTATCTACTTGTTTATTTTCTTCTCCACTAGAAGGTAAATTACATGAGAATGAAGATTCTGTTCTGTTTGCTCATGTGTATCCTAGTACCACAAAAGGATCTGCCAAGCAGTAGGCACTCTCATAAATGTGT